TCCTTTGGCATTGCTGGCATGTTGCTGGAGTGCTAAATAACACAAGAGCTACTGTACGAGCGTCACCGTAAATAGCAGAGGCAAGTGTTTTCGCTTGATGCGTCTGAAGATAATCAAAGATAAATCTGAAATATTACCACTGCACCATCTACTGATTAAAAGTCTGACTCTCCATGGATACTCTTTATGGTTGCTAAAGTGAGAATCGAGAGCACCGATGTATTAAATGAAATGCTGCTTGAATTACTGGGAAATGGTTTGGAAGGATGCAGTTATACTGTACAATATGCTGCAGGTCTGAGCATTTACAAGAAATTCACAAAGAACTCACAGAGTTCATATATATGATTGACATGTAAGCCATACCAAAAGCTAGAGAAGCCACAGAAGCTTTAAAGAGGCTTTTAAAGCTTTCATTGGCTGAGTAATTCAGCATAAAGAAATGAAAGAAAATAAAGAAAAAACACTTTACAATACAGACAGTGAGGAGACCACAGCAAAGCAAGGTCAGGGCTGGATTAACCCAATGTTGAGGTCCCTGGGCAAAAATCAGTTTTATTTATTTTTATTTAGATTATTTGATTTCACTTAAACTTGTTTGTTCTGGATGTAAGCTCAATAGCAACAGAAACAATAAAGGGAAATGCCACCAGTTTCACACATTAAACGCAGGTAGTGAGCTCTAGTCTGGTTCAACCTGTGAAATTGAGACTCCCAGCAGAAACAACAGCAGCGCTTCTTCCAGCAAATTTCCCAAAACAAATATTTTTACAACAAGCTAGTGGTTTATAACTAGTGTCACTATTATAGAGTCAAGTACCAAAGAGGAAGAGAGGATCGGGGAGGATGAGCAAACTAACAAGATGTGAGAGACGGCAGACGGTCTCCCATTTCCTGTGTCAACAAAGTGTCTTTTATGCACCATTCTGGTCATTTCTGGTAGAAGGATTTTACTGTAACCATGGTTATGAAGATTTGTTTACCTTAATAAAGCAGCAAATTTTAATCCAAATCATAGTCTGTCCCTAAGACGAATCAAGCTGCTTAAAGCCAATTTCTTTTAGCTTTCACTTGAAAAAAAAACCCTTTATTGTTATGAACAATTGTTGAGTTCAGAGGTTGTAAAATGAGGGAAGTGTTGCTTACATTGAAAGTTACACAAGGTTTGTCCCATCAAGTCTGAGAAAACGGTTCTCCTTCAGCATTGGGGGAGAGTTGCTATCCCAAGGGAAGGAGTTTGACCATCCCCGAGTGATGCTAACACCGAGTTTGAGATGGATGGGTGGATTGATTAATTCCACTGTGGTGAAAACAGACCCGAGCTAGATGACAAAGCTTTCCATTTACCAGTCCATCAGTTTTCCAACCTTCTACGACAGTCACAAGCACTGAGTAGTTCATTTTCCATTCGGTTCACGTTTATTTACATAGCACTGAATGACAACAACAGTCACCTCGAGGTTCTTCATACTGTACAGTAAAGACATTACAGTATTCTGGAGAAAACCTCGAGATAACACTTTGAACTAATGGGAAGGAAAAACTCCCTTTTAACAGGAAGAAACCTCCGGCACAACCAGGCTCAGGGAGGAGCAGCCATCTGCTACAACCAGTTGGGAGTGAAGGGAAAGAGAAAAAAAAGGAAAGAAAGAGAAGACAAAAGAAAGAGAGGAGCAGGAAACCAGACTAACACGGAGTAACGAAGAGAAAAGAGAAAAATGTAACGACATCCTGCAGGGGTTCATAAACGCCTAGGGAGTGAACAGAGGTGAGTGGAGATGTGCTAAGTGCATCGCATGAGGTCCTCCAGCAGTCTGAGCATATAGCAGCATTACTAAGAAAGGATTTAGGGTCACCTGATCCAACCCAAACTATAAGTCTTATCAAAAAGGAAAGTTTTAAGTCTATTATTAAAAGCAGAGAGGGAGTCTATCTCCCAAATTCATACTGGGAGCTGGTTCCACAGATACAGGCTCTGCTTCCCGCTCTACTTTTATAAACTTTGGGAACCACAACAGAGCCTCAGTAAGTCTGAAAGCAAAATACTCTGTTGGGATAATATTATACTATAAGATCTTTAAGCTATGATGGGGCCTGATCAGTCAAGACTTTGCATGCAAACACAAGGTTTTTAAAATCAATTCTAGGTTTAACAGGGAGCCAATGAAGAGAAAGAGGTCCCCGTTGGTGCTCTCACCGCAGCGTTTTGGATCAACTGGAGAATTTTTAGAAGAACCTGATAATAATGCATTGCATATCCTCCATTGGGTGGCTGTGCTGAGCTTTCGTGATAAAGTGACAAATCTGGACATGTAGAGGTAAATCTGCATGTTCAAACTCTATTGAAATAAGCTACATGTGGTAGTTCAGACATCTACTAATGATCTCTTCCAGGGCACATTCCCTTTGAAGGTAACTACGGTGGCCCTGACAGGTCAAATGCACAGTAATTTAAGAAAACATCAGCATGCAGAAAAATGCTGCAAAAACACACGAAGCACAGCAGAAGTAAAAATATAACACAATGGAAATGGAAAAAAAATGTCACAAAACACAATAGAAGTGTTTTTGGGGAGTCATTAGTGCAGATATGACAGAAGCCAAAATATAAGAAGGACTCCACTGACACACGCTTTAAAAGAAGAAGAGGAGGATGCATCGGTATCGGTGACACAGATGCCTGTTTACTGTTCACTCCACGACTGTTCCTTCACGTTATCGTCTCCCCCAAAAACACTTGTGTCGTGTTTAGTGAGATTTTAAGCTGCTGCCGCCATGAAAAAAAATGGACAGAAACTGGGATATTCCCGTTTTTCTCTTGTGAGTTTGTATTGAAATGCAACAAGGAATCACTTGAGGGCCGTTGACAAAGATAATGTGAGCTTACTCATTGACAAAGGCTCCCTTTCACAATACAGGGCCTCGATATGAAGTCAGACTCTGAGAGCCACTTCAACACTTCGAGCTCGGTTTGTATTTTGAGTTTCCAAACGAATTTACATGTCGTTAAATTACCACAAACTAATTTTCCAACTTGTATGCATCCAGGGCCCAGTCGCCTAATTAAGCACAGCTGGTAATCCACAGCGCAGAGAGAAACACACTGAAACACACTGTGATTATTTACTGAGGAGCAAGTGTGCGAGGACTCAGGAATGACCTGTAATTAATGAATGTGCGTTCCTCTTTAAAAACTCACTAGGCTCCTTCACCTCAGTTGGCACACAATGAATAAACAACACTCAAAATTAAAAGAATTCATCTTAAAAACTTATGAAAGAAACCAGTGATGATCATCTACTGTGCAGTCATAGCTGTTTCCAAACTATACAGTGACAGTTTATTCCTCTGTGTTTATGCTGCGTCACAGATCTAAAAGGAAGCGTTATACTTATAAAACGTTCTCACTTTTCATTGTGCATTTTAACGTTACACTGAAGGGAAATAAGTTTGCTGTCTCTGTAATATCACTCTGAGCCCTTTATGAGAAAAAACAACAACTTCTTATCACAAAATTACATGTCAGAGGCACAATCTGAAGCACATATCAAATATACATTACATGGGAGGAGAGAAGAACACCAATATTAAATCAACTATCTCAACTCAATATACAGTATCAACACTGTTTCTCCTAATCTGACACTCAACAAGAAAAAAAACCCCCAAAACAATAAAAAAACATGCCAGTTTTCAGACGTCCGCTTCTGCGTCCACGGCCTTTCTTTGAAGCTTTCTTTCAGGAAAAGCAGGACAGTGTTTGTGAGCTGTTTGGCAATAAATAAAGAAATAAAACACAGAATGCCTGATGATTTGGGAAACCATTCATTAAGGCGGAAACCACAACACTTCTTGGTCTTACTTTTTGGGTTTAAATCCGTCACTGGTGTTTTATGCTGAATTTACCAGAAATCTGAGGGTAAAACAAACAGGCTGTTCACTGGGGGCGTCGGAAGTAGCACAATAACAGACTTTGACTTTGTGTTTGTGATTTTTGAAAAAGTCTTGCTCTTTAAATACTACATTCATTACAAACACATTTCATAAATAGTGCGCGAACCACACCGCGAACCACACCGCGAACCACACCGCACGAACAAATACTTATGATTTACAGTACTTTGTACAACAATCCGGTAGTTTGTAACAGGCCGCCTGAGCTGCTGTAGGATTTACATGACTGAGAAAATCATCTCTGCTGTTGTTCTAAAGTTTGTCTGCCGTAAAGTCGTCTTAAATTTTTTTTCTTATTCTGTTTCCTTCAAATATAAAACAACCACATATTGGATTATTGGGTCCCACGATTAAGAAGTGTGTACATTTAGTAGTTGTAACTAATGCTTTTCAATATTTACATTTTATATGGTGAATATATAATTTGATCTTGCTCTACACACCATTAAAAATTGATTGTGGGTTGGCAGGATGTTAGGTACGGAAGAGGATTAGGGCCACTGGAAAAAAAAAAAGTGGGCACATCTTTTTTTCTTCTTCTTTTCCTGAATTCTGAGAAAAAAGTCAGAATTCTGACTTTTTTCTCAGAATTCTGAAAAAAAATAATTTTGATGAAAAAGTCAGAATTCTTACTTTAATCTCAGAATTCTGACTTTTTTCTCTGATTTTTTTTTTCCAGTGGCCCTAATCCTCTTGGTTATGAAGATTTGTTTACCTTCCCTGGACTTAAACCAGGGAAGTTCTGCCTGTCTTTAAGCTTGAATTAAAGAAATATTAATTAGAAGGTCGGCTGGATGATGATTAACTCATGGATTTGTGTCCTGTTTGGAGTTTTTTTGTCTTCCCTTATTTTTTTTACCCCTGATTAATCTCCTTTTCGTATGCTTTTTACTTTCACTTTCTCCCTGGTTAGGCTTAGGCATCCAAAACTACTCGGTAAGGTTTAAGATCAGGATTAGCGACTTGAGGTAACTGTTGTTCTGATTTGGCTATATAGAGAAAAATGAATGATTTACAGATCAAAATAACACTCTACTGTTGTAACATTACCCATGATGAAAACAGACTTATTTTGATTTCCCTATTACTACTCCTAATTAACCCCTTATAGTCTGAAATGTGAAGTAATTGCCATATATGACTTTTTCTATATCTGACTTTTTTCAATTTTTTCATTGCTTAAAAATGTATTGTGATTTTTTTTCAGTGTTTCGGGGGGAACAAATCACACGGGTGATGTAGATGTTTAAAAAAAAAACTGTATGTGTCAATTGTGATACAGTAGGGGTTGATGACCTATTTCTTTGGTAACGTCTGAGCTGCTGGTGGAAGAACCATGAGAAATTATTAGTAGATCGCCAACCAAGGCCTCATATAAGGTGGAAAGTAAATGGATGGATATGCAAAATAATGATGTAAATTATGTATTCACCATTAGTAAAGCCATCGGTTCCAACACAGGAGCCCTTATAAATAGTTCCTTCTTGGAAAATGGTGCTGATAGCTGTCACATACGCTCAGAATGAACATGCCACCATGTGTGTTAACATTATCCGTCAAACACATAATAAAGCTGACTCCTTCTATCACCCTCCCATAGAAAGAGTCCTGAACATCACATCATTTCACACACTCAGCATGTGAACGCTTATCCAGCAAGCTGCACTTCAGTGTTGCAACTGACCAGCAAGAGACTGGAAGTACAGTTTATGAAGGCTAATGGAAACACTGAGGCTAAAAGAGAAAAAAACAGTACTTCCACTTTCCTGTTTTTTTCAGCTGCGGTTGCTTTTGCTGCTCGTGCTTCAGCTGCTCGTGCCATTACGTTAGGTGGCATGAGTTTATGGTGATTCCATCCATCCGAGCTCCTTTCTTCTGTGTTAAGCAGCAATATATTTACATGTACATATGTGTATATATAGAAAAAAAGTTAGATGACCGTACAGCGGTAGTTGGGGTCGTTTGTCGTGCTGGAGCCATCTGTTTTGACCACCGTCGCCTTGGAGGAGTGCTGGGAGCTGTGCAGCGCGTTCTTTCGGCACAGACGCTCACGGTAATTCTGGGCGAAGATGAGCAACATGAGCGGATTGATGCAGCTGTGAGAGTAGCTGAGGCAGATGCTGATGTTGTAGGCATAGACAAAAGCGACGGTTGGCTTGTTGTTGCTCAGGTTGATCACCTGGATGACGTGGTAGGGCGACCAGCAGATCAGGAACAGGGCGATGACCATGAGGACCATCTTAGTGGCTCTTTTAGCCCAAACAGACTGCTTACGCTTGACCCGACGTATGGAGCTGAACACGTGGTAGAGGGTGAGCGAGTAGAAGGTGCTGATGATGATGAGGGGGATGATGAAGCCCAGGATAGACTGGTAGAGAGTGTACCAGTACATATCTTCAGGCCCGTCCAGGTACATCATACACACCTCCAAATGCTGCCTGCTCACAACCTTGGCGTACATCATGACGGGGACGGAGAGGAGGAAGCTGCCCAGCCACACCAGAATATTGATGATGATGGTCCACTGCACGGTCCTCTTTTCTGAGGTGGGATGGACAATAGCTATGTACCTGTGAGGGAGAATGCACTGTGTAAAGAGTATGACCACTCTCTTGAACACAAATGGTAAAAGCAGCTTTGCCAGAGTGCATGCAAGTGCAGGATTTTGCTTGGATGGTCATTTTCATACTGGATGAGCTCAGGCTACCCAATGAGATACAAGGTACTATGTCAGAGATACACAATCATTAAAGTGATGATTGCACTGATAAATCAGCATAATTTAATAAGAGTCATTTAGCAAGAGGACGTAAACACATTTCCATATGGATTGTGCTTCAGTTTGAAGAGCCAGAAAAATCATTTTGCCATTACATGCAATCATTGCCATTTAAGTAGAGCCAGGGACCGTCTGCATGTTTGCGCCTGACCTTTCTGTTGCGATTTAGCAGGCGTGGACACAAAAACACTCCTGTAATTTCCTCCATGATATGCTGCTAAATTGCCATTGCTCTCTTATCATTAATTTAGTATACTGATCATTCAGAGCCATTCGTGTCCTGAGCTCAGGTTGAATATGTTTGCTATATGCCCAAATACCCCCACTTCAGACTGTCAAAACACTATAGCCCTGCACTATATTATGTGCAAAAAAGGTGTCCCTAGATGATTTTTAGGTTTGCATAGAGGAAGAATACTACAGTTTATCTCTATGCAAAGAACCAACAGCCCTTCGGGTATTGTGTTTCAAATAAACAAACACTTGTACGTATCTAAAACCTATAAATCCAACAGCATTGGGGCATTAAAACATGAGTCACTCATCTGTAAATGTTTTTACAATTATTTAGGTCTTCTGTTAATTGGGAACACGATCATGTTGGTATCCACAAACCTCCCATGAAATGAAATTACACAGCAGCCCGAGATAAAGTGGCCTTTGTTGGGATAAACAGCAGCGAATTCAAAGAAAAGCACCGTAATGGCAGTTTGGACTTTACCTAATAAGAAATTAAGGGGAAAATAATTATGCAATTACAGTATGAACAGATGTTGAGCAGATAATGTATGCTTTCTTTGAAAGGTAACATTGATATCAGAAATAAGGGGCAACTCAAATAAACTCAGATAATCAGATATCAAAAATGTGATTTGGAAACTCGGGAAAATCAGCTGCTTTTTGTTTTAGGTTTCCATGAGTTTCACTGCCATTTGACTCAAGACTACAGACTAAAATTATTTGCCTTGAAAGGGAAGAAGTTTTGATTTTTTTAAAAAGGATTGTTTGATCTTTTCCTCAGTGTTTGCTACAGTTAAGCCTTTGTCTTGGTTTTCCCCGTTAAAGAAGTGATTTAAAATGATGAAGCTGAATTGATGTGATATAAAGCTCCGATGATTCACAACCTAAATGGCAAAGCAAATAAGAAACCTGTGAGGAATTCTTCCTGTGGAGGTGGTGCCGCTAAATCGGAGCACATTTATCCGGTCCAGTGACCCCCCTCGCAGAAATGTATTATGTGTATTATTCTGAAGATGTGTGCAATCATACCTCTGTCAAAGCCACCTGATCCAGATTATGTCTAAATGGAGATGTTTATCACTTCAGCTCTTTGGCGTGAGGGCTCATTTAATGTCCTGAATGTGTTCAGCTCACAGACCCGACACATTTATATAGGGAAGATTGTGTTTTCATGGGTTGTTACTCGCATGAAAAAACCCACTCAGTGGTACATTTTTAGAAGGAGTGCCTTTCAAAAGAAATGAAAGCTTCACTTGCACCCACTGAGGCTGGCTATGTATCAGGCTGAACAAATGAGCATGAGCATGGATTTCTGTTTTCAAACAGAAAACTCTGGAAATGAGATTTAAAAACACCTACTGTGGAATAAAATAAAGACAGTGAGTACAAAGTGGATACCAGACAACTACTTTTACTTATTTTCAGCTAATATTGGGTTGTTATTATCTTAATTTTTTGCACAGATAAATACATTTATTTGTTGTTAGCATGCTTTGGAGGATATCTTTTGTTTTGTTTTTTCCTAAAAGATAAAATATTAAAATATCTTCATGGATTGGGAACAACTCTGTGAGATGTTTGGATTTCAACGCTTACCGGTCAATGCACAACACAGTGACAATCCCCACTGTGGTGAACTGGTTGCTGACATCCACCACAACGACCGCTTTGCACATGAAGTTTCCGAAAACCCACTGCCTGTCTCTGACCAGCTGGTGAATGTTGAAGGGCATCACAAGCAAGAAGAGCATATCTGCTATTGCCAGGTTAAGCACGTAGATGTCTGATACCATTTTCTTCTTGCACGCTGCCACCGCGTAGATAACCAGCCCGTTGGCAACAACTCCAACTGAGCACAGGATGCCATAAATGGAAGGGAATATGTGCATGAAAGTGGTGATGTCGATCTGACTGTAAGGCGAGGGAGTTGAATTCTGACATGACTGATCAGCGAAGCTGTCTGTTTGGTTGTTTTTGCACAATATGCCAGTGTCATTCATCTTCAGCTCGTCCTCACAGTCACCTCGGCGTGGTCAGTAATTAAGTGGCGCACCGTGCGCTCCGGGATCCCCTCAAGCCCGAGCTTCAAACTTAGGGCGGCAAACTTTGGCTCTCTCTACAAAAGCGCGTATCCGCTTCTCTGCCCTGGCTTTCACTTACAAGGATTACAAGAGGAGGGAAAAAAAGCAGTGTCCAATCCAGGCTGACTCCACTAGCAAAGATATCGTTCCGAAGATGTTTATATGTGGGAGCAAATTAGGATCCAAATGTTTACTGTGCGCTTCTGCCGCGAGCTTCAACGGACACCAGTGTTCCCTCCTTGTAGAGGATCACGCCCCGCGTTGTGTAATGAGAGGAGCAAATCACAAATCGGCACTTTAACCTCATGACAAGAATTGTTTTGTTTTTTTGTTTTTTTTGGGGGGGGGGGGAGTAAAAAAACATTTAGTGAGACATTTTTGATCATAGGGGCGTTTCCAGGATTTTTTCCCATTTAAACGAGGCGACACACCCACAGTTTGTGCGCCTTTACGTTTCTACTTCTTTCTGGGTGTAGGTTAAGATTCAAGCTTCGTGGATCAAAGAGGACTTCCTGCTTAAACTTTAAGACGGCAAACTGAAAGAATCTCTCTTCAAGTTCTTTCAAATCGTTTAAGGCGTTAAAAAAAAGTTGGAAACAAATCTGAGGTTCAGACTGCAGACAGCTGTAGCGTGCCCCCCTTCCACCCTTCTCTTGTTTCACTTAATTTTTTTACATAAAACAAAAGATCTGTCTCCCTTTGGGGGGTTTACCTAGATTTCCAGACGATCTTTAAACATTCTTCTCTTTTGCTTTCTCTAAATTATGATTAGCTTCAACTTCAGCAAATTAAGGCTGGCAATTAAGTTTTCCGGTGGTGAATAAGCCCTAAAGGCTCCTGTCTAACCCTGCTATCAAAGATGTGATTTTCTTTGGAGCTTTGTTCTGACATCGCTGGGAGCAGCTCTAAAGGACAGGAGCTGATCCAGAATCTGAAGCAGCTCAAAGTAGAGAGGGCTCTGCTGGGATCTCATCACAGGTCATCCGGCAGGAATATATATTGGAGGTTTCCTCGTGCCGGTTTCAGGGGCTGTTTGTTCATTCCCCGTAGTGCTTTCTTTCTGTTCCACCAACCATTCAAAGACGCATATAATATAATTATTTTTCACACAGGTCCTCACATAAAATATACATTATACTTTTGCCAGTTCTCTCTTGTCCAAAACACACAGCCCACCTGCCTCAGCGAGCTCTTTAAACTCAGCTCTGAAATGAGTTTTGCATTTAATTATCTTGATCCTCCACACCAGCCCTCCTTCGTGCAGAGATAGACGGGTAATTGCTGTGATCTAGAGTACCTGTACAGATTCTATCTACAAGTCAAAAACATGCAGAGTGACTAAAAGCAAGGCCGTTCGCTGCGTTTTGACTGAGGCCCCTCCACTTTGATATCAGCAATTCAAGGACAGGAGATGTGACTACGTTTCAAATAGAGGATTTGCATAATAATGTCCCCCCGCAGTATCAGAAGTCATTTGCTTTGCTTAAATGTTTTTGAGCAAATCCTTGAGATCAAGGACTAATCCATTGTTTGCATTTATTTCATTTAGTGTTGCATAACTTCATACTCTCTACATGGGCTCCTGTGGAATATTATATAAGAAGTGCGAGTCCCTGAGAAGGTCCTGATTTCTTTTCGATATATTTCTTCGTTGTATATCTCACTGGGTGGATGCTCCCCTACACAAGTTACCCCTAGAATGAATTCTAAGGACTTTTATTGTCCTCTGATAGTTTACAGATATCAGCATCAGTGACGTCATGAGTCATCATTGGACAGCTTCTTTTTTGCCTTTTCCTGCGTGGGTTTCTTCTGGGTTTCTTCCACAGTCCAAAGGCAGAGTTTGTTGGTTTAATTTTCTAAACTGGCATACCGGCTGTAGGTGTGGGTGTGAGATGAATCAAGCTCTCGAAGCACAGAGAATCAATGTATGTGTGAATGGATCAGTTTGGCTTGTTGTGAAAGATGGCTTTAGGCGGTTAGTGTGACTACAAAAGCTGTCCATTTCCATTCTTTTCAAAATTTCCATTTGTGCCCTGCACATTGTGTTTAGTGCAGATTTGCTAATGTTAGCGGGCCCACTTGGCAGGTAGTTTGTTCCAAGCTTGCCACGGTTCTTCTGTGGATTTGGGCAGTCTCGCTGTCTTTTGTCTCCTTGTGTAATCCTAGACTGACTGCAAGATGTTGAAATCAAAGGTCCACGGGCGCAGTGCCATCTGTTTTAGGACTCATTGTTCCTCTTGTAACAGAGGATAGTTCAGCTGCAGACTGAATTTGGGACCAGTCAGGCAACATCCTGATGGCTCTGCATCATTGATAACAACCAAATACATTTACACAACACTGTGTGGCTCTGTGTGTGTGTGTGTGTAGGTGTGTGTGTACATGTGTGTGTGTTTTAATAGCTTGTTTAGAGAATAACAGAGTTTCTCATGTGACTATCTGTTTCTTAGAAGGCTAGTAGAAAATAGTACAAAAAAGACACAGATCTCATTGTTTGCAGCAGCACGCTTCTTGTGCTATAAATGATAGACTACTGTGGGCTGAACGTACCCAAAGCTCTAAGAGCTGGGCTTGTGGCTGATACAAATCTCCAAAGGCGCGCAGTGTTTGAGTCTCTCTTTCGGCACCTGCCACTGTGAGCGCTGATGCGCGACAGGGTTAGTAGGGTCTTGCCTCACACCTGCTCAAGTGGTCGAGCGCGGAGGACGGCGCTCGCCCTGGTCTAGCCCATGGATTGTGAAAGTGTGTTACTGTAAAAAGTACACTGCAGAAAAAAAGAGAGTGACAGACCAAGCCTGGATCAAGTTAGGATTAGCTGACAGCTTGTTAAAGTTTGGAGTGTGCCGACAAGTTTCTGGGTACAGATTAAACCAGAAGGGTTAGGTGTATTAAAACCACAGGAAGATAATGCTTTACCATGCATTACCCTCTTGGGAAACTTTGCATCAAGGCATTCATGCAGAACACCCACATGAACATTGTCTTAGATCAAGAATCCCACCAATATATCCAAACTTGCCAGATCCCAATCCATGCAAGCCCCTGGTCTTGCATGGATTGTCAGTTCATTTAGGATGAACTGACACAAACTGTTGAATGTTTTTTTTTTTTGGTGACAGCATGAATTGGAAACTCACTCACATGTATCATGCCTGCCCCACAGACTAACAGTGAGCAAAAAAAGAAGTGAACAAAACAAAAATATTGTCTTTAGTGTGACTCAGTCTGTAGTATATTAGGTAATGATCATGTGACCTATGCCACCAGTGTCCTCAAAGGCTTCATTATGGTCTCATGTTGTTGTCTACTTCTCCAGCCTGGATTATGGGAATTGAGCCAATGTGAATGCTTTGGAGGTTCACTCGGGTGCAGTCTTTGAGCACGCAAACAGCAGGTCTCCTCTGGCCAGTGACACTTTGCACACTTTGCAGACAATGCCCAGACGCCATAGGTCAGGTAGGCTGCCTTGAAGTGGAAATAGAACAGCAACAGCAGAGTCTAGTGACAACAGGAGGGAAAACAAACAAAGAATCAAGAACAAAGAGTCGGAGATGAGACGCGGCTTCAGCGGACAGCTTTAATCATTTTTATGTTGGGTTTCATTCCTTTACAAAGAAGTTCTTTGTACACGGCTTCTGTCGGGGACAAACAGAAGCAACACATTCAGAAACAGAACGTTCTGATATTGATCTACACACGGACATTATTTTTTAACCTGATAAAAGCAAATTACCATTTGCCTGTCAATCGCAATTTCCCTTTTTGCTCTTCAATGAATTAGTAAAATAAAGTAATCCAAATGCCATCCATGTGACAAACACCATTTACAGCATTCAGTGAAATTACCCATGCTTCTTAGAAAGTTCCTCAATGCAAACAGAAGTGGTTTCAAGTCTTCTCCAGACAGTTTAAAGACATTACATATTAGATGCTACCCTGTCCTATTTTTTGACATTTCATGCCCTCCAGAATTTTCTCACATCAGTACAGATGAGCACTCATTATGGTGAAGTGTATAATTGCTGTGACATTGAATCGTTTCAAAAGAGCATCGGGGAGCTGGCACTGAGCTGCGCACAGCAGGTTTTTACCTGTGTTTTCATGGTATCGCAGTCAGTATCAAATGCGCATGTAAAACACATGCAGGTTGATTTATATCCATGCAGATAGGCACTAGATTATCGCCTGACATCATAAGTGTGTCAAAAGTGTGGCCGCAACTGCACTGCAGCAAAATACACAGATTGAGCATAAATCTGTATTAGTAGAGTACATCTACAGAGATTTATACTAAGAAACATTTCGACAAGCATGCACTGTAAACCTGTTTTGACATCCCATTCCTCCTTTCACTTGGATTATTTTACAAAATCCAAAAACAGACACTAAAACCAATCAATACCTTTCCACAGCAAACCATGCTCCATCACATCAAAGGACACAAACCTGAGTACATCCTGTGCTCTGTGCCCGTGGTACACTCTGTGGACATGGAACTGAAAGCAGTGAGTGGCAAGTGTAGCAAAACATAATGTAGTGTCTGAGTAACTTATCTAGGAACATCTTTTATGCAATATAGTGCTATGCCTTAGGCCGATAATTAAATTCTGAAAATGTGAAACGCCACAGAGAAACTGCCACTGTATCTATATGTCAAGCTGAATGTATAGTATAGAAGGAGACTTCAAATTAAATTAATTTCGAAGGATCATGTTTCATTTCCTGCACATTCTGAGCAGGCTGCAATTTACTGAGCAGATACAGTAACGTATGGGCTGTACGTATAATGTGCTCAACGCTAAACTAAACCAGGGTAGAAGTGTCTGTTTGCAATTCAATTGCAAAACATGAACCAAAGAAAATGAAACTCCAGCCTGTCCACTGTGCAGTTAACAGTATCACATGCCTGAGAGGTCGCATGATACTCTGCAATGATAAGATGCATAAATGCATATATATATATATATATATACTATCATGATCATCATCATTATTATCAGTAGTAGTAGCATAAGTAAAAGTAATTACTTAAGAATAAAGACAAGACAGAACATGGTTGACTTGGCAAGGTTAAGGCAAAAGGGCAAAATGTGCATTGATTATTTAAAGTTGCCAACAAAGTTGAAGCTGGAGTGGGTGTGCTGGGTTTATTTATTGGTGTGTAAATGTAGAGAAGCAGCCAAGAGTGTGTTTAGGAAAAAAATACATCAAATGGTTTTAAAAGTACAGGCACAGAT